GTGGGGGTACAAATTCCATAGGTTATTATTTTGGGGCGGCTTGGTGTTTTGATACACCAAGCTTTTCTGACTCCCCCTCCCCCCGGGACGTAATAAACGACCGGCCCCTTTAAAATTCCTTTACAACATCCTCACCATTATTTTTGTAAAGCTGCTTGGAATATCAAGAGAAAAACAAGGGTAAAAAGAACTAAGAAACAAAAATTAGAATTATACGAACCATTACAACTGACTTCGTTCACTTCCTCGCTCCAGTATCCTCTTATTCCGCACCGAACAGATGAAGGGCCATTAATTTGTTTTCCATTAGCGCAGGAAAATGAGCAAATTGAGTGGTATCTTTGATTGTATGCAACACAACTGTCGGGCAAAATTTGTACCTCATTTAAGGAGGAGAGTTTTCGGCACGTAAATCCTTTAAAAGATGAGATATAAAGCAAGTTTAAAAAAGTAAAGAAGATAAACAATGACGACACTGATGATCGATGGATAGATTACTTAGACCTTTAAACGTGTCAAAAAGTTCATAACCGCGTTTTGCTTTTGTCTAACGTAATAATAATAACTGTTATCTGGGACTTGATCTTCAATTTGGGCTCTTCATTAATTGAAATTTCTGTTTTTTGTTGTTGCTGTTTTTTTTCTTCTCATTTGTTGTCTTTTTAATTCAATTTCATTAGAATACTCAACTCAATTTCTTCCAACCAAAAACGAAAAAAAAAATCACTCTTTTCTTTTCGCTGCCTGCCCGACCATGCAGTGACCGGCCTTGTGCTCGTGGACGTAAGGACATTTTAGCAACATACTTTTTCTCAGAGGAGTTATTTGTGTTCTTGATTTCAGTTAAATTCGCGATTCGCCTTAGTTTGCTGCAACCTAGTTTCAGTGTCCTATTCTACTTTTTCTCCGGAGCGTCTCTCTTATTCGAATTCCGGAGAGTAGGAGAAGACCCAGGGAACGAGGCTGTGTTTACTGCAGAATCGAACATAAAACCGTCATGCAATCGTGTCACAAATCTGGTAAAATATTATCCAATCCTCCAGAAAACCGCTATTGGGCAATGACCGCAGACGAAAAACAGCGACTTAATGACAATAAAGAGTTTGTGTGTGTGTGTGTGTGTGTGTGTGTGTGTGTGTGTTTGTAGAAAATATAAATAGGTAGGTAAGCCCCCTTACTAGTAACTTTTGAAAATGCGCTACACGAGTACATGGCATTAGTTACTATCAAATATAAAATACTAGGCTAGTCTTGTAGGAGCTATTATTATTTCAATCTACACCATTCTGACTTTTCTTTTTAAAAGAAAAATTGCCAGAAAACGTTTGAGATACGTCTCTTTGAATATAAAACTATTTCATTTCTTGTTGTCCCAAAATAACGTGACCTACCCGACGACAGTTCACAAGAATAATGAAGAGGAGTATTACAGTTCAAGTCATTCCATTTCCATTTCCTTGACGGATGCATTTCTACGCAATCTTCAGGGCGATTCCAGTTGTTTGGTTCGTTAGAATCAAAGTTTAGGTAAACCGCTAACGAACCATCAATCCATTGCCAGCGTGAGTTATTACTTGAGTCTCGGTGCAAACCAATCCATGTCCTGCTTCCCCAAACAATTTCTTGTTGTTCAGCTGATGAATCCAACATTGCGAGATAAGATCCGAGTGCTTCACACGCAAATTTTGCCGCGATCCATTCCAGGGTATTAGAGGATAGTTTATAGCAAGAAGATTGGTGTTGAGTCCAATCAAGAGGGCAACCTATAAAAGATAATTATATTAAAATTGAGGTCAGGATCGTAATTTCTGCAATTGAGTTTATGACTTCGCTGATTCACTATTATGCTTACAGATCAGGCACTAAATTCAGATTTGAGATACATCTTTGAATTTTAAAATCCGGTCCAGTTTCTAAATATTTCATTACCTCGCATAAAATAAGATTTGCACCAAACTTGCTCAGGGCAAACATAATACTGAAAAGTGCAAACTAGGAGGAAATTATATTAGGGGCAAAGTTGGTAAATACCGCATCTGCCCCTGAATTTGCAACCCTATCTAGTAAATTAGGATTCAATTGCGGTATTTACCCTCTCCCTGATTTCCTCCTACACTGTAGTTTGCACTTCTTTGCATCATATTTGCCCCAAGAAAATATTTGGTGTTAATCTAGAAATTTTTCGTGCACTGCTGATTTAATATGCACGTCGGTCATTTCGAAGTGTTCTAAAATAAGCGCGCCTGCACTTTGGCACTACAAGATTTTTCTTAGTTTCTAACTTACAACTCAGAAATTAAGGACCTGGTTGAGTAGTTTTAACTCGAAAATAACCAGTGGTAAGGCGGTCCTTGTCCCTTTTTTTTCCTTTGGAGGCGACTTTTAGGTGATTTTCGCGCTCCCTCGAGAAAAAAAAACACACCTTTTTTTAATATCGCAGGGTTACTCGGAACTTTGGCGCTGCAGAGGTATGGGCGGGGGAGGGGAGTTAGTTTTATCGACGGAGTTCGTAAACTTGATTTCTCACCGTAAAAAGATTTAGGAGCTGACCGCTCCAGCTATATTCTTTCTGAATATAATAAGTGCCACCATCCACTGACTGTCTACAGCTTCCGTTCACTTTCCCGGTTTCCCTTAACGAATATCTTTAGGCTGCCTACACTTGTGGGGAAGGATAGAGGGGTTGGAACACGGGAGAAAAGGGGCGAAAGGGGTGGGGGAGGAGGGAGAGAAAAGGAACAGAGGCAAAAGAAATAGTTGGAAATTACTGAACAATGCTTAATATTTCGCAATCCAAAATAGCTAAAGGGAAAAAGCTAAGAAAAAAAGGGGAGGAAACCGGATATGCAAGGTACGGGAGACGGGAGGTTTGGACCCCCTGTCCCCTTTCCTCGCACTTAATACTTCCAAAACGTGAAATTTAGAGGTGGACCTCTGGCCTGAAAGAACCTCTTCAAATAAACCAGGCTCCTAAATGAACCCAGTCTAATCTTTTTAACTGTTACGAGTTTCCCATATGGTAGAGCATCTGGAAAAGTCACCAGAGTACTCATTTTTTTCCCGCTCAACTAAGGGGTAACTTTATAGGCCAAAACACAATATCAATGGTTCTAAAGAAATGTAGTGTGAGCAGCGTTATTAATAACGTTTTTTAAAATAAATATGTCGGGCGATAAATAGAGGAGCGAATAGACCGCCAGAATAAATTTTCACGTAGGGATCCTAATTACACATTAAAGCGAAGATAGCTCACCTTTGAAGTTATGAATGTATGAAAATATGTGAACTGCGGGGTGAAAGAATTATATGAAAGTAGATCATCGCAGTTATAGACGCAACTTTTGCACTTGCGAAAAGAAAGCCTGAAAAAAAAAATTCAAACTTGTACGGGATTCGAACCATTGACCTCTGCAAGACCTGTGCAGCGCTCTTACCCATTGAGCCAACAAGCCAACAGGGCGTAGATCATTGAATTCAGATTATAAACCCCGTGAAAGGATGATGATGAAGTTATGAATATATGAAAATCATATATGTGAACTGCCGGGTGAAGAATTACATGAAAGTAGATCATCGCAGTTATAGACGCAACTTTTGCAGCTGCGAAAATAATAATAATAATAATAATAAGAAGAAGAAGAAGAAGAAGAAGAAGAAGAAGAAGAAGAAGATGAAGAAGAAGAAGAAATCGACACTAGCTGTTTGGTTTCTAAGTGGTTGAAAGTCGTTTTGATACAATTCGCTGCATAATGAAATCGATACGCTGCAAAGAAGTAAAGTCGTCTCGCCGCATCATAAAGTTGAATTGATGCAAAAAAATGTCGTTTCTCTTCATACTAAAGTAAATTACCTTTATAATAAAAATTCATCCCTTGAGTTTCTGTTGCTGATATTTTAGTGGAACCCACTCTGTTTCCATTTTAGCGGAGCTCTGGCGCGCGAAGCGCGCCTTCGGAGCACCACGGGTAAGTAAATCTACCCATCCCAGAAAATTTGGTAATCACGTGACCGTACACCGCCCGGTCCGTCCGCACCATAGGCTAACCAATGTTCAATCTCACACTTTCTAGCTAGTTTAGGAGCACAGGAAGACCGATATTGAACACATATTGTCCAACAATGTTGTGATCAATTGACGGCTGTCAAAACAGAGTATCCGCTGACCAGTATCACCTGACCGTATCGCCAGCTCAGGGGTCCAAGTTACTAGTTTTCAAATGATCGCAGGCTCAAATTTAATTTTTTTAAATTCATATGAAATATGTTGTGTTTTATATGTACCACACAATTAAAATTTTGATTTCAAACTACCTCGAGAGCTAAAATTCAGCCATTTTTTACAGGCAGGGAAGACATGCCAGTTGCTTTTGACTTTTTTCACCAAGGTCACGCGTTAGTCAAGCTCTACGTCCAATTTTTATGCTCTGGTTGGTCAAAATTTGACATGTGAGTTATGCAGCATCTTGAACCTTGTTTACTTTGACAGCTAAAACAGACAGAGTTTTGTGTCAACTTGTGATGATTTTAACTGTCTTTTTCCACGGAATGTACAAAATGAAATTTAGCTGCTATCAAGAGTCTTCTGTTATTCATAGCTAGTTTGTTTTTTGGGTTTTTGGTTGAGAAATGCGTCGCTTGTCAAAGTCGGAAATCCGATTTCGGATGGCATCGTTTTCGTTTTTCACCTTGCTTGATGCGTAAGAGGGTTGAAAAGTCTGAAGCGATTCTGGCCTTACTTGATAGTTTTCAGTGCATCTCGAATGGTAAGCCTGAGTAATTATTCTATTTGATGTTTGTTTTTACTATCTAATTTAATGAAGTCGGGCGTAGTTTATGCGGCTATTTAGTTTAATAATGCACGTTTCTAAGATTTCAGACAATGGACAGAGTATCAGGTTTGATTATAAGCTTATAGAACTTTAGAAAGCCTTTAGACATTTTCTCACCGTAAATTGAAAGAAAACGTTCTAAAGAATATTTAGTTATAATTGTGGCTGTAAAAGAAAGCTTTGAGCAATTTTCATGCCTCGAGTTCATCTTTGAAAAAAGCAAACACCGGGAAGCCGGCTTAAAACATAAACAAGGATTCTCAGAGACACTTTAATACTTTTCTTCGTGAATGAAAATTGTTGTCTCTGTATGTTTCACCGAATTTTTTTCCTTTTATTGATTATTAGTAGTATCTTTTGCAATTTTAATCGCTGTGCCGTTTGTTTTCAGTCGCTCATGAACATCGGTTGCAGGAGTAGTCAAAATGCCGCATGCCGCACGTATCAAACGTTTTTTTAGGATTACATATTATAAAAAATAAACATAATAAATTCTTTATTATGTTGAAGTGTATAACTCTATTTATCTTGATTTAAACAGTTGACTTTGGCGCTTGTCAAAAGTGAGAAGCGGCTAACCGTATAGGTGATTTTGGAAATTTTTTTAACGGTTTCGGTAAAAGTCCACTCGTGCTTCGATCGTCCTTAATATTGAATGAGTGCAATTTGTATTGCAAAATTGTGAAGTATTGCATTCTGTCCGAGGTCTGTATGATAAAACAGCACCTCACTGTACTGTTTCACCTCAGATGTGATGTATAAAAAGTATAAAAGGTTGGTTTACACGTCCCCAGACTTGTTGGCAAGATTTTGTAAAGTAAATTATAAACTTGTCGAATGCAAAAAATTCGGCCTGATTTGTTTTCCAGGCCTAATCTACTGTGATCAAGAGCCATAATGGCTCTCAAATGTGATCGAAGATGATAGCTATTTTTTGGGTGTTAGGCTATCAACTCGATGTAAGATTAAGTTCACTCTTAGCTTGGACTGTTTGCAAATTATTTTTCTCTAAATTAGCCTTTCCCTCAAAAGTCACATGAATATGCTTTAAAGTTAACTGATTTGTGGAATACAATTGCAAGTTTATTGTTTGATTTAAATAATAAATTCGAGTTTATATGAGCTTCGCTTTTAGCCCTGGCTAAATCTATATATTAACATTAACAGTAAATATCAGTAATTCCTAGTTCATCCATGGTGGTCGTAAACTCATTAAGTGAATGTATATCACAAAATAAGCATGCTAAACCTTGATAGCGCTTCTTATAAAGATTTCTGGTAGCCCTTGGAAAATAACAACAAACAAAGCAGACGAGACACGACAATTTTTATGAATGGTGCGACAATAAAAACGGAATCGGATGATACCAACGAGGCGATAAGTCATGATAAGTGTCATACAAGAGCCTCAAAAGTGAATCTCATCGCAAGAGAATATGATAACTAAAGATTGGCCGTTGTTATACTAGAGGACGCATTATCAGTCTTTACCAACTTGGGCAAACATATTTGTAGTTCGTCTGGTTATGCGTCTAAAGTCCGGACGGGCACAAGACACATTATGCGTCTGGATCAATTTTCCTTTGAAATACGTCTTGAAAGACGCACTACGAAAGGTAGTTCGTCTGGACGCATAATGCGTCTTATGCCCGTCTTTATACTAAAGACGCATAAACAGACAAACTACAAAAATGTTTGCCCAAGTTCGTCTAGACGGGTAATGCGTCCTTAGTATAAAAATGACCGATGGAAAAACGGACAAACCGAGACAAAAAGAGTTCTTGACGACTTGAGCATACCTAAACTGGAAGAAATCTTTACAACAGTTTCCGCCGCGTGGCATTGCTTCGGTAGACTCGCAGTTTCAAAATGTCTCCGCGATTATTCTGCTTTGAGCAAGTAGAGGTCTTGATAGACTTTTGGGATAAACTA